CGTGGAGTATAACTATGCATTTCGGTTCTAGTGGATTTCCAAATGTCTAAGCCCAACGCATCTTAATTAGTATTATAAAACCAGGAAAATTTAGTTTCGAGTCACTAACCTATAATTATCCGTTCTTCTTCGTAATAAAAGTATATAATCATATAGTAAGTACGTATATCTATAAGTTGATAGATATTTAAAGCCTATTCGAGCATGTCTTTCGTCAGTCCCCAGTTCCACTACATTGTTATATCAAAGCTAATGCGGCATGAAAATGTAAATCTCGTTGCTATTTTGCGACATCACGCAAGCTATGGCCTTGCTTTTTGGGCACTTTACGAATTTATTAAGCGTAGGCAACGTAATTCCTTTTATTTTCTTTGTGTGGTATGTTCAAACTGTGGGGAAGCTAATTAATTTTTTGTTTACAGGTATATTTTATACTCAACGACGCTAGAAAATTGTTGGATATACAAGTCTTTTAATAATTAGTGTTAACTCTGCTCATAGTATCCATTAGGTTATATTCCTCCCATGTTAATGTTGCGAAAATGGCGTTGGGTTGTAGTTTAAAAATAAATTACAATTTCACATGTTAAACTGTTACAATCCATTCATTAACAATTAAATATTTCATCAATCAAGCATTTTAATTAGAACACAATAGCAATGTAGACTTTACTTTACAGAACGTGATTCGTAAAAGACAAACGAATTCGGATAATCCGAAGACATTATTGAATTTATCATGTCGTTCGTGCATCACGCAAATGAATATAAACGCCGGATATAAATCCTTCCAACTTTTTCTTACTGCTTTGTTCAGGCATAATATTTCGTGCATACCCAGCATATTCATACATACAAAAGAAAGTGCCGAACATTTCGTTTTGAGCTTACGAAATTGGCACTAGTCCTATCACTATACTGTCATTGATTAAGAATTATAACACAAAGCTTACTTGGCAAGGAAATCAAACTACTTTTGGAAGTTGAAATTTAATCTACAAATTCTTATATTAAAATATAGTACTGTACCCAGTCAGTTTGCTTTTCCTAAATTAATTTTGCCTAATAATATTGTTATCAAATAATTCAACTAACAGTAAAAAAAACTATCCAAAAATCAAGACGCCTGACATCATAATTTCTAAGACTTCGTAGTTGCACAATAGAAAGAGACAGTGTTAAGTTTTACATAACTTTCTATCAGAACGAAAAATATATTTTCCTTAATAGTATTAGTACTAAGGCTTAATTGAACGTGTTGCCTAGCAACGCATTATGCTTTAGTGGTCCTGGTTTGGAATCCTGGGAGAACATAAATTATTTCTGTGTGAAAGCCTGAACTTGCCGAAGCGAAATTAGTCAGTATAACAGAAGTAAGAAGTTCGCCTAGAAGAGGAACGCTAATTTGTCTTTTATTCATAGTGCCAAATTTCGTCAAGCTACTTCCTACGATATTATACAATAATATCTTTTAAATAATAATTAACAATCCTATCGGTTTCGCTTACTGCGTTGAAAAGCAGTCTGTTTCGTTTTCATTAATCAATTCTCTAATCACAAGTCGCTGTATATATTTCAGGTACATTTTTATTGACTCGTTTGCACCCGTTTAATGGCTGCATATTCAAGCTAATGACAGCAATCATAGTTATTAGAAGCACTTAGTTAACAGGAATCGGAAATGCACCGTTCCCGTCGGTGTAACGTGAAAGTAAACAACTTAAAACATTATACTTTAAAAATGTTGTGAGGCGAGGGGAACACGCTTCAAGAACGCTTTGAATAGCCACATTACGAATTCCAAGAAAGCTAGGCCGTGTAAGTCACAGAGTAGCTTTGCAATGAAATATGTGAGATTTTTCTAAGCAGCTTTAATCAGTTGAAGAGAAATTGTGTGAATACAGCCTGCTAATGTTTGCTTTTAGAACCACATAAAAATGCACAGTGAATAGTAAATTATAAACAATTTTCAAATTTTCACGTCAAATTAAAGTATGAATAGAATCTATGTTTATGTATGTATGTGTATTATTATTATTTTATTATTGATTTATTTTTTCAAGTTATCCTATTAATAGCAATCCTCTAAGTAAGTTTGTTATATTTCCCATTCAATATTCAGTTCCTTTTTTTTACCCGGACGGGATTCAAACTTGGCTACGACCTTACGAGCTGTTTGATCAACCAATTTAGCTCCAATCTGAATCCTTCGACATGTTGCTATTACGAAAAATAAGGTAAATGGCCACGAAATGCGATGCAAATAAGGAAAACATTTAACGATATTGTAGTCGAATTGTTGATTTTTATTAATAAACAGTATTAATATTTGGAAGTTAATTTAATAAAATACTAAACAACTTCACGTGCTTTAATTTAACTTTTTTATAGCGATTTATGTTTATGAGAAAAGTGTTAACGAACTCAAGATCTCGTATCGGGTACTACATGTATTCGTTTTAACTCCTGACGTTATATCAACTTGTAATCGTAAAACTAATAAACTGATCACCCGAATACATTATCGCCAGTTTGACGTTAACGACAGCTCATTAAACCAAATGTCAATACAGCGTCGCCATTACACTTCTAACATTGTAACTGCTGCACTAGAAGTGTCCCGTAAACGCTCTAGTTCCTGTTTTGCATTAATATGAATATTTATTTAATTTTAAATCATGACTTTTGAATGAAAGCCTTTGTCCTCAACGAGTAAACTATATATTTTGGAACGATAAAAGTGAAAAAACTGAAGAATATCTATATTTTCACCTACGAAATAAAAACGTAATTAGTGTATTATGATTGTTCTATCATCGAATGGCCCAACATTTCGGATGCTTGCAGCATCCTTTGCTTTGCAGCAGCCGTGATCATGGGTACTACAGACAGTATTTATGTATTATGGATTCCAGAATTTATTATTATTCTTATACCAATATGTATCGACCTATTATATGGGGGAAGCAAAATCCCAAAAACTCCGCTGGGCTGGCCATTTGGAGAGAATGGGAGATGATCGAAGTGTCAAGAAAGCGTATATCGGAATCCCAACTGGCCAAGATATCGCTGGAAGGAAGACGTGGAGAAGGACCTGCGCGAGCTCGGTGTGGCTGAATGGCGAACAGCCGCGCAAGATCGGCAAAAATGGCGCTCTTTAGTTTCGGAGGCCAAGACTCACTTTGGAACGAATCGCCAGCGGAGTAAGTAAGAGTAAGAAAGTATTATAGCAATTATTTAAGGTTTATAAAGTTTTGCATCAAAGATATTACAATATTATTTACTTGTCTTGTATAGGCTCACCAGTTAAGTTTGTAGTAAGCCATATCTCTTTGGCTGGCAAGGCCAGATCTAACATTTAACTGCCCAGAAACCACGATTGTCTAGAATGAATGTCATTTATATCGGGAGTACCTAGGCTATATGCAAATATCCGAATCGGCACGCGATGCGGTCTAACCTTTTTCATTTTCGAATCTAAATGTTGTTTTTGCTACATTTAAAGTTATTATGTAGGTCTACCAATAAAACGTTTATGTTTATTCTAGGTACACTGGTATTTATTTTAATAGCCTTATACGTTAAATTGTGATTATTAAGAAAATATTTCAACAGCAGCTATGAAAAAAATAATTAATTAATTGTGCTTCTTGGAGGGTAGTTACTGCACCGGGCACTTATTTTTAGTCTGTGAATTTAGCGCGCTTACAACAGTGCCATATCTGTACTGTATTTTTCAACTTACATATGGATGTAAGTTGGATTACCGATTTAAAATAATATTTTTGATAACCGAGACTTATGGCTTATAACTAATTTAATCTATCCAAAAATAATAATTTACCCTTCTAATATTAAAAAACCGTCTATACGAGGTTGCTAAACGTCTGGCGACACCCTAATAATCTACCATTCCATCTAGTCATTACTCACACAACCCTTCTTTGCCTATTTTTGACTACATTAAAATCACAACATATAGATACAACGCTGGTGAATTTAACGAGGTTATTTATTTCACGTTTATCTCCGATTGTAAGTATTATTTTTTAATTTTCTTTACCTCTTTTACCTAAGGAATACCTGAATAAGTCGATAAAAGTTGCTACCAAGATTAACTCACTGATCAATTGTATAACCAACAACGACGCATACAGCAACAAAAAGTAATTTCTGCAAAAAACGATCAAATATTGAAATCTAACTCAAAATCAAAAGCTATTAAACTGTGTGTGACTGTTTTTATTTATATTTATCTCTAAAAAAAGATACGTTTACTCTTGGCAAACAAGAAAGATTCATATAAAAACATTCAACGCGTCGCGAATTGTATTTTCTGATGTGTATACCGTTGTAGTGTGTTTATTAGTATAAATATATATTATAATAAAATGTACATATAATTATTTCTAGTAAAATATTGTAGTTTAGAATATATAGTTTCCATAAAAATTGTGCACTATTAGTTTTATCTTAAAAAAGTTGTGTTTTGTTCTACAGCCTTCGTAATTTCCCGACTCAACGCTGAAATTGAAAATGCGTGCGAGCGTAGCACTAGCGCTACGAATTATCTACAAGAGTTCATTGAACTAATAAGCTTTTCATATTTCATTTTTAATGCTTACTTTGCGTGGAAACGTTCGATATTAATTACGATATACATATTGGCTTATTTAAGCTAACTTAGGTTATTGAACAATCCAATTACAAATAAACACGCAATATTAATTTGAGATTTTTTTTTGACAAGGATGAAAGAAATCTTAAGTAAATACGGAACCTAAATAAAACCTTATCAAAACTAAATTTGATTTTAATCCCTTAACCCTTTGTCATACAGAACAATTGATTAATCATAGCTCGCTGAAAAAGCACAGCATCCGGGGTGTCGCGGTCGGCTGAATTTTTTTTCAGCGATCGACACTTACCTATTTTTCCCGTGACCGATCTTGTAGAGCTCTACGTGCTTGAACTGAGCGTAAGTTGCCATTGTGATTTTATTAACACGAAGTAACACTGAGAGCGGACACTGCGCGTGATACACGTATGTTCGGTTCGCTGGCGTACAGCTGACTGAGCGCGCGCGGCCGGTACCCTCGCTTAAGTCGATGTTGCCACCCTCCCGCACGTGAAAACTGAACCGCGCATGCGCCGGACGCCCGCGCCGCTTCCGCGCACGCTTCTCGGTTTAGGGTTGAGTGTGCAAAAAATAAAACCCTCATGCTACAATCAAAGACCGGGAATCATATGCCCGACAAAAAGGCGAACTTTCTTGTTGTTGAATCATTTGACCCGATGTTACCACAAATAATGCCTTTTTTAAATTTATTTATCAAAAGGAGGATAGACAAACATAATCTATATACATATAATATACATCGCAAGAATTTGCGCTTTCGATTATTACGGAAATCCAACGTAGCCGAAACGCGATTTAACTACGCGACTTTTAAGTCAAGTCACTGTATAACTAAATGTTTTAAATGAAACTAATTGATAATAGACAAATTTGATGCAACAATAAAAAAATACAAAATTAGCATGTCACATATTATACGCGAAATTATCTCAAAAGGAAAACAATTTGTAACATAACATCCGTCTAAACATAAAGATTCACTTCAAAATTAATTATTAATTAATTAAAAAACAAAACTACCTTTCCTGAAATTTACCTAATTCCCTGTCTGCGGAACCACTACTATAAATAAAACCGAGCTTATTTATTTTTATTTTTTTTCATCACCTGGTGGCCGATCCTGTTCGTAACATATACCAGTAAACAGATGACTGGTGTGAACCGAGTTACCAGTTCGACGTTTACAGAAATACCTCAATGATTGACACGTAGCAGGTATTTCCGCACGCGACACTATGCCGATATTGAACAGATAAAAAGAGAGCGCAAAATAGCATTAATTAACTTACGCAATTACTGCTTTAATTACACTTTTGTTTATTTAGAGCGATTTACTTTCGTGAGATTCGACGCTGATCTTAGAAAGTGTGAATTTATCTTCAAATCTGGGACGTCGAATAGTGATTCGCCGTTGACAGTAGTTTTAATTGAGATAATAGTTAATGCAGTGCATGAAAAAATAGATATTCTAGATTTTAGACAGCGTTTTCTTTAAAATCTCTTCGTTTATAGCTCCCACAGTCTTTATTTAAGACATTAATCTACTCTGGATAAGTATCTACAGTCAATACTTAAACGTCAAATGTTATCGAAGTTTTATTTAGAGTCCAATAACAACGAAATAAGTAATTAAAAAATCATTGTTGTTCAACCAGGAATCTAATTTTTATGTCTTCTACGAAAACTACTTTTATCATTATATGTAAATACTCCACACCGATTGTTCTTTACCTACAATATTGATTTTAACCCAGTAGTCTAATAAAAGTAAGTGGTTGTCGGGTCGATTACCGCTCACAAAAACTTGCTAGACGTCGTCTGTTAAATCTGGATAGTAAATGGGTTATATCGGAATTCCGGGTTACGGACCACCATCAACTGATAATAGTATGATCTAATTCAAAATAAAATGATGCCGCGATCTTCATTTATTTAGATGGAATATAAGTGGTCGGTATATGACTGGGGACGTGCTCCTCTGATTATATTCTTCTATTTAAATAAAAACTTTAACGTTTAAAACGGATATATTAGTTAAACTTATTTAAAAATGATTTTTAACTTCGGCCCGACGTTTCGGATGCTTTGCAGCAGCCGTGGTCACGGGGAGACTAAAGATGGAGGATGTCTCTGAGTCAAAGTAAAAGTTGCCTACGCTAGCGCCATCTGTTCCGTCGAAGTTGGTATTTGGCGAAACTGGCCGGGTCCTTGAAGAATTTACTAACGGTGTCTTCGCGTTTGCCGGTATGCTGTTTATCGGGATCCAGAGTTTTTAGTATGGGATCCCAGGTGTTTGATAGTTTAAGGCCGTCTTCCCTATTGAAATTTCGGTGTTTTTTGATTTCAATTGCCTCGCGTACCAATCTTGGAAAAAATCGACTCTCCTTTGCGAGGATTTTTGGTTGGTCAAAGGCGAATGTAGTGATTGGGCCCTTCTGATGAGTGTTGGCATACCGCATTGAGAGACGTTATATTTTATATATTCTTCTATATCTTTCAAACACTGCAATGGTACGATACTCCTTACTAAAAACTAGCATCACCATCTGATTGCTTACAGTATAATGAATGAGCGTCATAACCCGATCCACTGTTGGCATTTGAAGAATCGTAATTCCTTCCCTATATGTTGGATTAATTTATTTAATTGACTGCTTTACTCGAGGAAATCTAATTTACACGATTAATAAATTCCACTTACACGAGACGTAGACACATTTTCACTTAGTGCTTGGCGATCCAGGTTTTTGCTATTCGGAGATCAAACTTAACAAAATAAATCATTACAAATTAGTGGAATTTGTACTATGCGTCTTAAATAACATTAAATTCAATTATTGTTTAATTGTTTTGAATAATGTATTTAACAAATCTGTATAAACGATGGAAAGTCTACATATTTTGATAAATTAGTCATCACGATTTCATGGCACTTTTCTATATTATGAAATATTCGGTTAAAAATAGAAAGGATAAAAAATGAGGCGGATTTATATCATATGAATTATTTAAATTTATCAATTAATACAATTGTTTCGATTTATTTCGAACTGTGATATAGAAGGTGTGTGTAATTTAAAGACAAACTTGAAATTCCTTACGTTTATACTTAAGAAGTTCAATTGTCGTGTTCACTTATGCGGTGAACCATAAACAACACTAATGTTGCGATGAGATACGGACAGCCATTTTGAATATGCACGCAGCATCTATCTTTAAATAACTTAGAAAGAATTTTGTTTCTGAAACGACCTTTTTCCTCTTTTCTCTTGATAACTCAAAATATAACCTTTTAATTGCAAAAACGAACGAAAATATTTTTTTTCTTAACATTAAACATTTAAAAGTTCAAAAGATATGATATAAATAATATAATAAAGAGCTATTTTTATCGTGAGTGTTCATTGAAAAACAAATTATAGTATATAATACGTAAGTACTTTGTGAAAGAACATCATTGTTAAGTAATTAGTAAAAATATTGTACGTAAAAATATGATTATTAATTAGTTAAATAAAACCACCTCTTGGTCAATACTTTTTCTTATTTAGTTAGTTTTATCTGAAAAAAGGTGACATGCCCCAGCCTTATAACATTTAAAGAAGATTCATTATTAACATATTATTTAAGCACACTGAAGTCTACAGACTGTTCGTTAATATCTGTTATAGATTAGCAAATTGCTTACTCGACCACCTAAGACAGGACAGTCGGTTCGAAACGCAATATCCCTTCGTATGTTATCTCACAAGCCCAGCCATCAATCTTACAAGCGGCACAAGTCAAACAGTCCGAGCTTCCCTGTTTCATCACTTGCCCATTACAACATATAATTTGAACCACAATTTCACGCTACATTAATCGAATTGATTTTCAACCTTAATCCCATAGGCATTCAATTTAAAATTGAACATTGCCTTCTCGATCTATTCTAAGTTAAACATGGCCGTGTTTCACTTGAATGCGTTATCTGAAAACAGGCTAAACAGAACACGGCTTCAGAGAAATAATTGTTTACAACAAATTTCCTGCGCTTTTCATTTCTATGGCTTGAACTATTTATAGCATAGATAAAATAGTACATGGCTTATATTTTATTCAGAGGTTGTGTAAAGTATCCTCCATGGTTAAATAAAACACTTTAACGGTTTAAAACGCGATATATTAGTTAAACTTATTTGAAAATGATTTTTAACTTCGGCCCGACGTTTCGGATGCTTTGCAGCAGCCGTGGTCACGGGGAGACCACGTGTCTCGTTAAAGTGTTTTATTTAAATGTGTACTACTGGCGTAAACTATAAACAGTGTTTTATCCTCCATGGTTTTGTATGCATATAATTTCATACTTTTTTGTTTATGTGTTAATCAATATAAAAAAAAAAACTTTTACACTAAACTTTTTGAAAACTTCAATATTTTGCACATGATGGCACTACATAATTTAAAAATCGAAAATAAATTGAAAAAATTTTCGACTCGGGCAGGACTTGAACCGGTATCGTCAGCGTTCCGTGCTGTTGCGGTTCACGCCCTGCCTGAGTCGAATATTTTTTTCAATTTATTTTCCATTTTTAAACTATACTTTTTGTTAAATAAATGTATTGTATATAACTTCTTACAAAACAAAAGACAATGAGACATCCATCTTCAATCATTCCATTACTTTATAATTTTTCTGAAACATGTTAGACTTCGTCTGTTCATCTGGATTTTAAATGGGTAGTAAAAATATCGAAATCGCCGGGTCACGTACCTACTAGGGTGAAAAACCGATTCTGTGAATTTTCGAATATCCGACAGCCAAAATACACAACGCACCTTGTTTATAGGGCTGGGTTATTACACCTCTATCAAGGAAACCCCTTTCTCTCTCAAGGAACTCTCTTTCCTCTATCATAAACAAACAATCACGCAAAGCTAATAAATATTTCCTAATGCGAACTTTAAAAGACTATAAGAGAATAATACAAACAATTAGCCATCGCTTTAGTATCCCGCAGTGAACATGCAAGAAAAAATTTCATCAACATTTGGTTAACATAAGACTTTTATATCGAGTAATGTTATAACTTTACGTCATCGTTTGTTTTGGTCTACTAAGCTAGGTTTTCCGCTTTCCGTTGTTATGTAAGACTTAATTATAAATCATTACACTATATATTAATAACTGGTTATTTTGCTAATAGCTTTTCCTTAAAACATTTGATCTATTTATAGTAATAATGTTACAAATACATTATTGATGCGTATTGTGTAATTTTTATATTAAATAGACTGTTTCATATGTATTTTACGTCTCCTCGTGACCACAGCTGCTGCAAAGTCGAAACGTCGGGCCGTAGCTAACAATAATTCTTAAACAAGTTTAACTAAAAATATATCGCGTTTTGAAAGTAAAGTGTTTTATATAAATCTTTACTACTCGCGTAAACTACAGCCAGTATGTATTTTACGTTTTTTTTTTATAATTCATTTAGTTAAACGTTGACACAATTTTGGAAGCATTGTATCGCATACTAGGATAAAATTTATTTCCATCATATACTTCTGATATACATGGTCCATAAGTATTTATTGATGTTA